CACATTTTCAAGAGGCATGGTGCTAGACTTGACCCCTTCAGGCCTCCGTTCAACCATCCCTAGTCACATGGTGCTGGAATTGTTATGATCAAGCACCTGCCAGCCTAATTGTTTTTCGCGCTTATCACTACGCCAAAAGCTATATATAGCTAGTAGACGCAACTTTATTTCTTTATACCGACAAATTTTTGAAAAGCATGGTTCTGAACTTGACGATTCAAGTCTCCATCCAACCATTCTCTAATCATGTAGTACTGGACTTGGCCCTTCACCGGCCTCGGCACAACATGAATTTAGTTTTATCATACTACTACTGTAATAAAATTCAACAGAACAAAATCAACAGCAGAAGAGGAAATAGAAGTGCACCTTCCCCAACATGCTTAGCTTTCCAGGCAGATTCATGGGCAGGCTACCATTGTCCAGGGGTGAATCAAGACACTGAGGTTGCAATACAGTACAAGTTTTTGGACATGGAAGGGGGTTCTGTGAATCTGCACAAGTATTGGGAGAAGCTGCCATCTTTGAATTCCTTGAATTTGGAGGTGGAGAGCAACTTTTCTTTTCCTACATTTACAAAAAAAAAAAAAAAAAAAAAAAAAAAGAACAATTGTAACCATTTGTTGAATATATTATTTAGACTATAGACCAAATGAACCAAAACTATACACAAAAAATTTAGACAGAAACTAGATAATGCAGAAACACAGAACAGAAACTGCTATGATGATATTCTGCTTAAAGCATTATACACACTATGAACTTAGGCATAGAGTAAAAATGTACCTACAGATGAGGGTAAAGGGCTTTTGATGATTCTTGATCCGCCGCCACGATTGCCTAAACTTCTGCTCCTGGGAAATTTCAGCATGGTGGGAGTGGCACAACTCTTCCTCACCAAAGCAGGACTACTTTCCACTTTCGCCTCGACGAATTTAGACAGCAACGCGCCACCAACAGAAGATCTCAGGCCACTTTCATCCTTCCCCCCTGCTCTTCCCCGAATAACCACTGGAGACATTGGAACATTGCCACCATGTTTCACAGAACAAGATGGGTCCTTTACAGGTGTGCATTGATCAAAATCAAGAGGCACTGGCTTCCTAACCAGTGGAGAAGTCCCAATTTGGCCTGTCCCCCAAGACCCCCTTCTTGGGGCTGAGAAATTTGGGTTGGGTTTTTGCTCATTTTTCTCTCCCTTTTCCCTCAACCCCATCAAGGGCTCTGGAGTTCCCACCAATGGGTGCCTCCCCGGCAATGGCTTAGCGCCTCTCACCACAGGAACAGGCGATCCCTGCTCCAATCTGTCCACATAAATGAACTGCCCAAGCTGCATTTTGTTGCTAAGAACAAGATCATCTTGCTCAAATGGCAGACTAACATATATGGAGTGTGAAGAATCTGAAACCTTTATGTAGAAACCATGCTTTGGCCATAGCTCGTTGTCATCAAGCTCCGCCGGAACAATGTCTGTCACCTGCAAGAGAGAACTCCTGTGCTCGCTCGTTGGTTTAACCCCGGAATTCAACCCGTCCAGTAGCTTCAACAAAACCCCCGGAGCTAGCGTCGCCATGGCCGCTAAAACCGAATTTCAAATTTTCAATTCGGATTATTGACTCAAATCGGATGGAATCTTATCTGGGCCTCCGAGTTTTCAAGAAACCAAGAATGGGTCTTGGAGAACAACACCAAAAACCTTGATTTTTGATCAATTACGAAATGAATCGCATCATGTAAAGATTTGAGTGAATTTGAATGGCGTTGGTGATAAGGAGGAGTTTTGTTTGATCAACGGTCAGAAAAGGATAGAAGGGGCTCAGGAATTTTAAATCTGGAATTGTGGAACGTTATTGTAACGGTCATAAATACGCCGGTGGGTCCGGCTCATTGACTCATTGTCATTTTTGAATATAGCGGTTCCGGAGCGGAACATAAAGTCCGTGTAAATATTTACTCTTTACCCCCGTGGTTTAAAAATCATATTTTCTACCATTTATATCATGGACCAGGATCTATATAACATTATGAACAATAGATTGAAACGACAAGATATAGAATTTATATTCGTAAGATACATCATTTTATAACACAAGACACTCAAAATCAAAATACAAGTCATATAGACATGTTATATATTTACTTATTTTTTGAATCTAATATAGGTACATAATGTATGTTCATAGGCACAGAATTTCACAATACAAGACACATAAATTCATAAGATAAGATACAATTACTAATTTGTTTCAAGTATAAAATTTTATAACAGAATACACAAAAATTCACAACATAAAACACATATACATGTACCAGAATTTACAGTGCATTGTGGACCTGACCATGGTATAAGGATTGCATATTTTCTCAAAAAGGTCTTAAAACAAAGCTCTTTTGAGTTTTGATATATCAAAGTTGGAAAAAAAAAAATCAAAATTTACAATAAAATTTCAAAATATTTTTTAGAGCGGTAAATTTAATCTGCCAAAATTAATAAGTTATTATTGATACTTTGCATTTTTTTTGAGTGCCGAGGGAAACTTGCACCCTAACCGGCAAAAGATAATAAGGAGGTAAATCAATTTAGGTTGCTCATAACTGACCGGCTCAAACTGAGAAAGCCTATACACCGCTCCCGCGAGATGATAAACTTCTAATCTTGTTGTGGTTACTAAGTCAACTGTCTAACTAAATTAGTTGTGCTTGTTCCTACATATTGCATTTTTTTGAACTTTTGAAATGCTTGCATCATATATATATATATATATATATTTTGTCACCATTTTAGTTATTTCTTAGTTTAGTCAAAATTGAAATGATACAATTTTATAAAGAGTAATGCTACTCCATCTACAAAATTCACTTTTTATTTATTTTTTCTTTTTTTTTTTTTGGTGCATCAGCAACAGGAACAATCGCCCTGCCTAAGTGATCCTCAGAGTCATCATCCCACAAAATTCCCTTTTAATATTTACTACATGGTACCTTATGGGTCAATCAATTTATTCTGTTTTTCTTTGTTAAGATTGTCACATCATAAAACAAACATTAATTCTGTATTGATTTTAGTAGAAAAAACAATAATTTTCTTTAATAAAAAAATTTATTTTTACTTTAAATATTTTTTCTTTAAAAAGTAAACTTACCACTAGAATATTTGCGGAATATTCAAAATTTGAATATCCGTCAAACCCACACGTATGACCCCATAAAAAGTTCGAAACCCAAACTCAATATCACTAGAAAATTGAATGCACAAATTTTGGCCTATTAGTAAAGGCATTTCAATGTATTGAGAGCTACCTATTTAATTTGCTCAAACTGGGAGTTTTGCCTTGGTGGCATTGATGGTTTTGTTGGCTATTGGGTGCTTCTAACTTCTGTCAACACTTATTGGCTCTTTTTTAATTCATATTTACATGATTTCGTTCCTAGACTACTGGATACCATGATGAGAACACTGAGCTGATCGAGTCTGTATATTATATTATATTCACATACAAGTCCATACGTACATAGATGCATGTACAAGCACATCACTAATAGGAGTGTAACACTAATACAAACGCTAGAATGTAGGAGTCCTAATACACCACTTTAAGCTCACAAGTCATAACAAATAATGCTGAGCTTGTCACGTAAGAACACAAAGTGAAACACTAGCAAAGGCATAGTGAAAATATCAGTCAATTGATCTTTAGTAGAGATAAAACTCACCATTTGAGAACCACTTGTTGTTGGAATTTTCAGCATAAAATGGCATTTTATAAGTGACTATTTTGCGGTACAAATATATGTGGGGTCCATTTCCGATTTTGGTCAGGTTAAAATAGATTTGCACTCTTCGTAGTGAGACGAAGAATTTGATGTATTGTATACACAAAATGGGTAATTAAATTAGCATTTCGTAATTTGTTTTAAAAGCTTAAGAGTAATTAAGCTTTGGAAGCTTAATTGGAGCATTGGGACTAATGCACAATTCGGTGCATGTGGATTGAGAAGCACCACTCGTTGCTTTGTAGCACGACTCGTTGCTTTATAGCACGAGTTGATGCTATTTGCACGACTCGATGCTATATGCATCGATTCATGCTGTACTATTTCGGTGTTTTTGGCACTATTTGGGTGTGATTTTTTTGTCCCAATTTGAAAACCATTCGGTTTGTATGGACTTCTCGGTCACTCAAGTGTTTTGAAGCAGGTCATTATGGTCGGTATGAATTAATTGTATATTAATTTCGTGACCGTTGATATTATTACGATAATTAGTATGACCATTTCAAATGTTATAATCCTATTATTAAATTGGATTAATGTTGATTTTATTAGCCATTATAATGCTATTTATTCTTTCTTCCCTACAAATAGTTAGGATGTTGGGAGAATGAGTTGGTACGCCATCAACTCAAAATTTTCATTTTTCTCTCTACTCTCACTAGCTCTTTGTTTTGAAATAGAAAACTGTCTGCCAACATCTTCCGTAAATTCGTACGGAGTACTCAACTATTGTGTTCTTGTTTGCCGGGCTTTGGTTTGAGTACTTGAACTCCAAAGTCGTAGTCCGTTTTATCCTGGGAGACTGACACCCATTGGGAGGTGGCGAATCGATTTTAAAAAAATTGTGAGTATCACACGACTCGAATTTTTCATTCTTCTCAGCTCATTTCTTGTGTTGGGTTAAAACCTTAGGTTAGAAATCCTTTTCTCTTGTTTTATACATATTTGTTATTCGTTTTGTACCAAGTGTGGTGGGATTAATTTTGTAAAAGATTAAATCCCTCGTACTAGTTTCATACTAGTTGTGGTGGGATTATATTTGTAAAAATAAATCCATTCTTAGTCGTATATATTTCATGTGTGTGTGTGCGTGTGTGTGTGTGTGTGTGTGTGTGTGTGTATATATATATATATATATATATATATATATATATATATATATATATATATTGTGTAGCAATTTATTCACAACCTCTAACAATCTTAAAATCGATTTATTCTTTTCGATGAATAAAGTTGATGCTCCCACTATTGTTGTAAGTGGAAGCGTGAATGTTGCTCGTGGTGCACATTCGTATGGTCGGAGCGGCGACGTAGTTGCCCATTCCGAAACCTCGGTAAACTTTTGTTCAGAGACCGGTGGCGGCATCAAAGGGTATATCCCTACGATGAAGGTACATGTGACGGTACCGAGTGGCTCGGTTGAAAGACCGTGGAAATTCAATGAGTTGAATTTTGAATGGTGGCAACTTAAAATGTTGTTCAGCCTAGTGATTCTTAACATGTCATGGTTCTTGACCGAGATGGTTCCTAATGGAAAGGAATATGAGTCTAACGCTCAAATCGTTAGTGAAGTGAGGGTTTGGCAATATTTCGTTTTCCTATGCCTAAACTACGTTTTGAATGGTTTGTGTAATTCGTACAGTATATACTGTAGATTGGAAACAGCTAACAGGCTGTGAGAATCTTTGAACCTGAAGTATAAAAGTGATGACGCTAAAACAAAGATATATGTCGTTAGCCAATTCCTTCAATACAAGATAGTGGATTCTAGGATCGTCTTGAGTCAAGTTGACGAAGGAATGATCGTGAGTGAAGCCTTTCGAGTGGAACCTAGTATCCATTTGTTGCCTTTGGGCAGAAAGGACTTCAAGAAGCATTTCCTCAGAAAATGCTTGTATGCCTTAATAGCCAAATGGTATGTAACAAACGTGTTGCATGTTGAAATCTCGTAAAGGACTTCGGTTCTAGATTTCAGGGATAATCAATTTGTCAAAATTGGGATAACTATATAATCTTGAGCATTATAGCTTAGTGTAAAAGCATGATTCAACTATTGGAAAAATTGGTTGATATAATCTTTTTAATTATGTGAAAATTAACTTGATTTTTGAGATTCCATATTGTACTAGTATAAAATTAATTTGTGACAAATGATGGAAATATTTAGACAACAAATAAATCTAAACCCACTTGAGTTTTCGAGTAGTAGTGTAACACCCCAAAATTTTGAAACTTTTAAAACTTATATAATAAAGGTAAATTCTCATTAAATCCCAAAACAAAGTATTACTAAACATAAGAGTGCGGGGTGCTATGCCACATCTGAGCTGGAGAACTCAGATGCACAGGCTAAACTAACTAAATATCCTCAATACATCATCATGGCACGCAGGCCGAAGGGAAGAAGTATCTATATAATACAAGTTCTTCTAGCGCGCTCCGGAAGCTAATCATCTGTGCCTGAAAGCCAAATATATCTGTTCAGTGAATGATGCTGGTAACCCACTCCAACGCGTTGAAATACAATATAGGTAGATATATATATATATATATATAGATATATAGATAGATATATGAAAATCATTTTGAAGCAGGAAGATATATACTTAGGAGACTCTAGCTTTAAAACCAGGAATAGACTCGACAGGTAGGGGTAAGCACGTTAAACAATGATAATCAGTTATATAGAGACAATATCATAAAGAATATGTATCTAAGGTCACAGTTCACTTTCAAATCATTCACATCATCATTCAATCAACATTCATGTCACACAAGCACACTTTGGTGGCGCCACGGGACCAATCGCATACCCCAAACATGAAGGTTAGTGCATATAGCACTAACACGGCCCCGCAGCACCCCACCTCATACCGCAACATGAAGGAATTGACCATAGCCAATTGTATAGACCGTCGATAGTTTCAACGGCGGATCACAGCCCTACACACCGCTGACGCGCTCAGTTGGTGGACTGTGATCCTCTTTTGGGGACTACGACCCTACACACCGCTTGACGAGCTCAGTCGGTGGGTCGTAGCTGATCAAAGCCCTACACACCGCCTGAGGGACTCATTCGGTAGGCAATGATCTTTGGGGACTACGACCCTACACACCGCTGGCACATACACTCGGTGGATCGCAGCCGACCATAGCCCTACACACCGCCTGATCACTCATTCGGTGGACTATGGCCTTCCTCGGGCTAGTGGCCCTACACACCGCCTGGCGCGTCCAGTCGGTGGACCATAGCACACGAGGCCCATGTGGACCGCAGCCCAAGAAGTGAGTCACTGACCGCAGCCAGGAGAATGAACCGCAGCTCATGAGTAACCAGTTTGACCGCAGCCAAGATAACGAACCGCAGCAAGTGCATAACCAATTTGATCGCAACCAAATTGGGGTATCATGCTCACATAACACATAGTAACACATATTAGCACATTGGGAAGGGGGAAAGCGTATAAATAAACTTATGCGTGATTATCCACATACTACGAATAGTCCTAAGGGGTTCATACATCTTCCTCCTAGGCCAACGGGTTACCGATTCAACTAGCATGTAATATACGAGACTATTTTATCCTACGAACGGTACCCGAAACATCAACTAGACTCATGCACGACAAACGGGGTCCGTTGTGTAACACCCCAGATTTTCGAAACTTTTGAAACTTATGTAAGGAAGGTAAAATCTCATTAAATCCCAAAACATGATATAAAGAGTACGGGGTGCTATGCCACACCTGAGCTAGAGAACTCAGGTGCACAGGCTAACTAACTAATATCCCCAACAAAGTAAATGCATAACTGTGGCACGCAAGTCGAAAGGGAAACTATCTACTTCTATGCTCCACGATTCTAGCGCGCTCCAGTGTCTATTCTTCTGTGCCTGAAAGCCAAATATATCTGTTCAGCGAGAGATGCTGGTAACCCACTCCAACGCGTTGAAATACAATACATATAGATATATACATAGTTATACGAAAAACCATTTCGAAGCATGAAGATATATCCTAAGAGACTCTATCTTTCAAAACAGGGAATAGACTCAACAAATAGAGCTTAGCACAGACAACGGTCATAATCAATCATATACAATTCATAAGCATTGGGAAACAGGCAAGGCAGATAAAGATAAGCACAGTTAATATCCATAATCCAACATGTACGATTCCCGACATAAATCCCAAAGTCACATCCCAAGACACTCATAACAATGACTCATCCATATCTCATCACCTAGCACACTTTGTTGGCGCCACAGGACCAATCGCATGCCCATACATGAGGGTCAGCGCATATAGCTCTGACACGGCCCCGCAGCACCCTGCCCCGTATCGCAACACTGAGGGGTCGATCGCAACCGACCGATGAACCGCAGCTCATCATAGTTTGATCGCAACCAAACAGTGGACCGCAGCCCAAGAGTATGTCATCTGACCGCAGCCAGGAAATATGAACCGCAGCTCATGTAAAAACGTTTGATCGCAACCAAACGGTGGACCGCAGCCCTATATAATATTTATATACCTGACCGATCGCAACCGGCCTGGTTAACAGTGAGTATGGTTCTCAACCCATCCAACTGCCCGTATAGCCAATTTGATCGCAACCAAATTAGGGTATCATGCACACATAACACATAGTAAGCACGTGCAACCCACATTGACACATTGGGAAGGGGGAGAAACGTATAACAAAACCTATGCGTGATCCTTCACATACTAAGAATAATCCTAGGGGTTCATACTTCTTTCACCTAGGTCATCGGGATACCAATTCAACTAGCATGCAATATATAAGACTCATACGACCTACGAACGGTACCCGAAATATCAAACTAGACATAGGCACGATAGACGGAGTCCGTTGGGACACCACGGGGGTCGGGGGAACATCAAACGGGGAAGCAAGAATCCCAAATTGGGGTGCAAACCAGCGGGTAGCCGGTGGGTGAGGATTCACCCGCCGGCTGCCCGCCGGCGGCAACTATTCCGGGCAGCGGGTGCCCGGCGGGCAGCTGCCCGCTGCCGGCGTTACCCAAATAGGCCTTGGGTAGGTGGCGGGTCCCCTACCCCCCACTGACTCTTTTTCACCAAAAACGCCCCGGGAACCTTTGTGGAACCCGAAACCATGCTTAGACACTTTTAAACGCAATTGATAACACACGTAGACAATTAACGGATCAAAATCAAGAAACACACGGCACATAACCTATCATGCTTTTCTAAACGTAATCAACACCCAAACATACAAATTCCCACCCAATCTACCAAGAATAATACCATACGAATTCGACAATATAACCTAGGGTTCTAATTATTTTTAAATCAACAAGAACACAATTCATCTTCTAATATCAAGATTCGGTAGGAATATCATATAAACATCAAGAGCATCATATAATCATCAAGAACACCAAGAATACCATATAATCATCAAGAATCTCTTATCATCAAGATTACCCATGGAATCATAACACCAATCATCAAGATCATTATAACGAATCATCAACACACAAGAATATGGGGGAAATCCTAAGAGGGGAACCATAGCTATGAAAATAGGTTTTGTTGAGACATGGGTTACCTCTTAGCCTTAATTAATTCCTTGGCTATGAAGGGTCTTTCTTTAAGCTTTCTTCTTTCTTGATTTCTTCTAGGGGAATTCTTGGAACTTCTTGTGTGGTGAGGGATTATTGTGGTGGGGGATTCTAGGTGCCTCTTAAGTCCCCTATTTATATATTTAGGAGTCCCAATTAGGAACTAATGTTATAGGCTTGCTAATTCTATTCCTTTTAGGGCTAGGGGTTGGGTTTTAGGGGTGAGGGCCCACGGACCATGGTGGGCCTTTTCCCTAATTAACTATTGTAATTTAATTCCTTCTTTGGATAATTGGTTAAATGATTAATTGGTTTTAGGGGTCGTAACACGGGGTGTTACACTCTCCCCCCCCCCCCCCCCCTTAACGGGAAGCTTCGTCCCCGAAGCTTGGTTCTTGTTGGGCGACTCCCTCTTGGTTTCCTGGTGTGAAGAGTTCGGGGTAGCGTTCCTTCATTGTGTCCTTGAGTTCCCATGTTGCTTCTTCGGTCCCATGGTTGGTCCAGAGGAATTTTACCATTTCTATGGCCCGACGACGGGTGGTTCTTGTCTTGGTGTCCAGGATTCTTACGGGTCTTTCTTCGTATGCTAGAGACTCGTCGAGGTCCACGACCTCGGGTTGTAGCACGTGGCTTGGGTCGTGCACGTATTTCTTTAGCTGGGATATGTGGAATACGTTGTGTACTCTTTCTAGTTCGATGGGTAGAGTGAGGCGGTAGGCTAGATTCCCGACCCTTTCTATGATTTCATAAGGGCCGATGAATTGGGGGCAGAGTTTTCCTTTTCTTCCGAATCTCATTACCCCTCGTGTGGGTGAGATTCTCAACCAAACCTTGTCCCCAGGGTTGAATTCGGCTTGTTTTCTCTTTAGGCCGGCGTAGGATTTCTGGCGGTCCTGAGCAGCCTTCATCCTTTCTTGGATGTGTTTGACCTTGGTTATGGTGTCTTGTAGGTATTGGGGCCCTAGTGTCACCGGGTCGACCATGTCCTCCCAACACAAGGGAGTTCTGCATTTTTGTCCGTATAAGGCTTCGTAGGGTGCCATACGGATGCTTGCGTGGTAGCTGTTGTTGTACGAGAATTCAATGAGGTCTAGGTGTTCTTCCCATGTCCCTTGGAAGTTTAACACACAGGCCCTCGACATGTCTTCGAGAGTCTGAATAGTTCTCTCGGTTTGGCCGTCAGTGGTGGGGTGGAATGCCGTGCTTAGTTTTAGTTGTGTCCCTAAGGCCGATTGTAGTGACTTCCAGAATTGTGAAAGGAACCTGGAGTCTCTATCAGACACAATGTTTCAGGGAATTCCGTGGTATTT